ATTAACTAGATCCCTTGTCGTTGTCTATTCAGAAGACGTAATCCAACATGACTCCCGGCAGCTTTAACAAACAATAAGGGTCACTTGGACGATTATCTGGTTCCAGACACTCCTTTTTCCAGCCCTTGTGATGAATCATCGTTGGGAATGCGACATATCTGTGTCCTCCTCAGACTCAATCAGCGTCTCCTTATCCCTCAGCAGCTCCCCGGAGATGTTCCTCATCAGCCGGCCCTGTTTCTGGTGGATCAAAGTGGAGGTCCAGGCTGGACACATACCAGCAGACACCTGGGTGTAGCGTGGCCCTTAACCTTCACCTCGGAGTGTAAACCGATAAGGCCGAGCCGGAGCTCTATCTGCGGCGCTGCTCTTTGTTTTGAGGAGGAGACCCCAGGGTGGAGTCCTTCACCTCAGCCGGCCCTGCAGCTGAACACACAGGACCACAGCCTGGTATCATTAGAGGAGCAGCCCCCATCCTTCATACATGCACACAGACATGCACACCGCTGCCCTTCAACCTCCGCCCAGCTCAACGCTTTGGCTTTTTTCAACATTTCCTCTTCGATGCACAAATTAAAAACGTGCCTAGAACCCGGTGGATGCACCGAAACACCCAACAGGTGCTTAGAGGCCAAAGATGCAACTCCTGGATTTGTAGGGTGATGATGATGCTGCACCGTGGAGACTGTTGCTATGAGAAACATCCACCCAGAGGCCTGACGCTTAGACGCTGCTCAGAAAGTTCTTCCACATCTTCCAAAGACTGGAAAAATATGCACAAAACATCGACTAGAGCAGAGACCAATGTCAGAATTGTTTGCTGGAGTCTGACAGGAAGAAATCCAGACTCACAAACCTTCAGATCACCGTCCCATCGAGCAGAGCGAACGTTAATACGTTTGTGCAACGTTTCCTCTCAGATCTTTGATGCACAAGTTAAAACGTGCATAAAAACAGGCGTCTATGGATGCATCTAAAGACCAAACAATTAACAGAGAAGAGCATCGACCAGGAATCAGTGTTGACTTCATCATGAACAACGTCCTGCAGACGGACGTCAGAGATCAGACGCTGCTGAACAAATCCAAAGCTCTGATGGAGATTTGAAAAATACTCCCCAGTGCTTCATCACCACCACATCTCAGAGTTCTTTCTACAGTTGTCGGCTGACTTTCTGTTTGCTGGAGTCTCAGAGGCACAAGTCCAGACTCACAAAGCTCCCGCTAAGTCCTGAACTCACCAAATCATCGAGCCATCGATCACAGCGAGTGCAGTTTACTGTGGATGTTAAGAAGCAGCACCATCACCACCAGTGTCCCGTTTCACACCTCCACCCTCAAAGCTGCCGGGTGTATTTTTAGCTTCAGTATTTCCACAGCAGCCAGAACTCATCGTTCACACTCATCAGCAGCTCGCGTCCTCAGCTGGAAAAAGCCGAGTCTCGCTCCAACTTAAAGAAACCACGTAAACCCTGTAAATCCCCTTAAAGTGCTTCTTATGAGCGATGAAAACTGTTTCACGTCAGGGCGAGGCCTCCCACCTTCTTGGTCTCCTGCGGGTTGATCTGGATGGTGTAGACGCCGTTCTTATGGAAGCCGTCCTGGTAGAGGTCAGCACAGTCTCTGAACTTCTTCTCCTCGTCGGCCACCTTCGTGCTGTTGGGAACGACTGTGGACACGAGAGGACAAATGGAAAAAGTGTGAAGCTGTTTGTCTTCAGAGGACGTTGGACACCAAAGTCAGACTGAATCTTATTGAGGTTTTCACTGTAACAGCTGTGAAGGAAACGTTTTACTAAAACTCTGATTGACCAGTTTGCTGAGAGTCGATGAGGAGGTTAAAACTCTACTGTGTGTGTTTTGTTGCTAGAAAAAGAAAATCATGATGGTTTTTAATGTCGGTCTTTAACATGAGAAAACCACATTAGTGACATGAAAGAGTTTCATAAAGTATTTATTGACAATCTGATGCACTGACTGAAGTGTTCATGTGAATCCTTTGTTTTCTTTAACTTGAATTTAAATCAAGTTACATTTCTGGTTTTATTTTGTTCTGAACTAATTCCAGTGACTGTTTCACTGGTTTGTGAGTTTTCTGTTATTTTGTGTGTTTTGTTTTATTTTGTTAATATTTCTGTACTTATGGTCATCAGACTGGAACAACACGACCGTTTGTTAAGCTTGCAAAAAAGTTTGCAGAAAAAGAAAGAAAGAAAAAAAGCCAGTGTTAGCTTAGCTTAGCTTAGCATAAGGAGCAGAAGAAGATGTTTGAAAATGTAACCACCAGCACATTCACAGCTCAACAAATAACATCCCATCAGTTTAACGTGTGAAAAAACAGGAACTGAACCTTTCACAACCTGTCGGATGTTTCAGCTGAAACTATTTCTGAGTGAACAGCAGTGACTTGATGCTAAGCTAAGCTAACCGCTCCATGACTCCAGGTCCATACAAATGCACTGACAAGCAACACAGTGGAGGAATAACAGTCACATTTTTTTACTTAACAAATCCTTTAAATCTGCTTTATGTAGGTTTTTTAAATTCTTCTAAATGACAGAAGGTGTAGAAATGTTAAAATATGTTCTTATTTTCACCCAAATTATGTCGTTTTTCTGAAACTAACCAAAAGGTTTTGGTGCCTGAACTTGAAAAACTAATCCAAAATCTAAAGTGAATGGACCTCTGTGGACCTGAAGGACCTGGAACTCTTATCAGGTAAAACTTTGCTTCACCAAACAAAGCCACCGTAGATACAAAACCAGCAGAGGTTCTGTCAGATACGACAGGAACAGATTTGGACTTTGGCAGAAAATCAAAGCTCCGGTGAACAACAACAACCACAGACACCAGAACACGGCTGTAAATGAAGCCGGCGCTGTTCAAACCTGCTGCCACTGATGTAACCTCTGATGTCAGAGGAGCTCCACAGCGTTTCATAGATCACTTCCTGCTTCATCTACTCCATCAAGAAACCACGTCTCAGTGGGAACCAGCAGGTAAAGAACCAGCAGGTAAAGAACCAGCAGGTAAAGAACCAGCAGGTAAAGAACCAGCAGGTAAAGAACCAGCAGGTAAAGAACCAGCACTTCATCTGGAAGCATCCGTCTCCATCTGCACGTAATTATGGCGCCGCTATTTTGAAACCAAGCAAGACGCTGAGGACAAAGTGCTACAAGCTATAAATTTCCAGTTCCTGTTATAACAACTGGTTTGTATTTACCTCCTCGTAGGAAACTCTTCCGATTTTTTTTTTCTCTCCCCTCATACGAAGGTTCGTCTCAGTTTTCACACTCATGTTTTCTGTTGTTGGGATCGTCAGCGACGCTGCATTTGGGTGAAACATCGCAGCTTTCTGACAAAGTATTGAGTGTCAGCGACAAGAGCGTCCAGCTGTGGAGGCCGAGCGGCCCTTGGCTCTGCAGACAGCGACCGGCCTGTCAGGTGGTAATTTACCCCCAGCGGGGCGCCAGCGGGGCACGTCTCAGAGGCCAGAGATCACGTTCTGCTCTTCGATCTGGAACCGTGTGCACCATCGTTTCCCCATTTCCTCTGAAGGTGGAGGAAGACGTTCTGCAGAGCGACTGCACTCGAACAGCTTGCTGCCCAGCTCTGCAAATATTATTTATGTGCCGGTATTTATTTGCAGAACAACATTTAGTGGTTCAGCGGGGACTCGTGTTCGGAGGGGGTTCATGTGAAAGCAGTTCGGCTGTTTGCATAAATCAGGGCCGCTGCCAAACCAGGCCGAATGCTGGGAGCCAGGAGGCGGAGTGATGGAGCTAAACGGACGGCTGTGGACGCCGGCGCTCCCGTGTGACGCCACCAGTCGGCCGACAGACGACGAACACCGAGTCACGTCGCTGCTCTGAGGGATCACTGATGGATGAAGCTCATCAGATTTATGAACGCGCTGCTTCATTGTTCTCACAGCTGCTAGCGTTGAAACAACAACGACGCTTCATGGGTTTAGGTCCTGTTGTCAGCTTTTTCTTTTCCCTTTTCTACTTTATTAAACACGTGGGAAAGTCTTTAAACCGTCTCTGCTCCTCTGACACATACGATGCTCATGTTTACGATCAATCAGACGCTAGTTGGACCTCGTCTGAACAAACTCCACGAACAGACTTCATATTAAGTCCTATAGGATAATAAAACTGTTCAGTGTCTCTCAGGACAGAACCACTCACTGGTATTTATAGTTTTATCAGATTAAACACAACATCTCATATAAATTAACTCATTTACATGTTACCCAAAGAAACGAACCAGAAATCTGTCCAAAGCTCAAATAATGTCACACACATTAAACATCTGTGTTTTATTTTATTTTATTTTACAGAATGTAGTTTGAATATTAATTGAAAGCATCACAGATGATTGGTTCAGTTTTTAGCTCTAAAAAGTGGATTCAGAGGAGACAAATCCAGAGTTCATGGTTCCTCTATGAAGGCTGATCTGATCTTATCTTATTTTATTTTATTTTATCTTATCTTATCTAAACCCAACTCGTATAAAACATGTAGAACGAACCTTTGCTTTAGGTAGAACTGTATTGATCCTTTTGGTGGGTAACTCAGGGAAGCTGTTGCTTTATTGGTTCATTTACATCTCTGTTTGTTCCTTAATTGTACAATCCAGCTGCTTGATTGACTGATTGATTGATTGATTATAGCCAATCGACATGCACCGATGAAGACTCAGGTGAATGCAGGTAACAGGTACCAGTTCAGTGGCTGAAACTGGAAACCAGTGCTGACTTACCTGCAACCCTTTACCTTTTGAACATTGACAGTTTGAGTCCAAACGCTATAAACGGACTGAACAGTTTGGTTTGCGGTCCGACTACCTGCAGAAAGGTGCTGCAGTCGCTGCAACAGCAGGCGTCAGACTCACTGCGATGGTCGATGAAGCATGAACATAATGACGAGCAGCAGTTTGACCACATCTAACAGAGAGAGTTTAGATTAAACGAAGCATTTCTGAGGCTTTGCATGGGACCTTAAAGTCATTAGACTCTGACTGAGCAGCTGTAAAAATGATGGATGTCATTCATTTAGTGGGATCATAGAACTCCCTAAAACAAAATCTGACTTAGCAGCCAGGACCTTGTTTTTTTTTACACAGTGTTCCAAAGCTGAGATCAATTACTGCTGCTAATGAGGTCTGAATAACAAACGAAACATCTGCAGCAGCTCAAACACACGAGAAGCTTCGTTTTAGGGAAAAACCGTCGACGGGGAAACTCGCTTACAGAGACTCAGAGAGAAAACTCTGCTTTCTGAGCATCCATCACCTCAAAGATGTCGGAGCTGAGGAGGAAACGCTCGGGATCAGATTTCACAACACAGCAGACGCCACTCAGGACTCTAAGCGCTCCTTCGAATCAACCCTCAGACAAACAAACCGAAGCTTTCCAACAGAGGAGGAGCTCCGGATGCCCCGCCTCCTCCTTCACCTCCTCCACTCCACCAGGAGCTGTTAGAGTCATCCGGGCCGGGTGAGGAGAGGGGCGACCTCTGACCTCCAGGCCCGACTCACCCTTCAACACCAGCAGCAGGAGGACAGGACCAACCACAGAGTGGCGGCGGCGGCGGCGGCCATGTTCCATTTCTGGCCACCAATCATGAGCCGGAAACACGAAAACTAAAAAGACTCGGTGCCAAAATACAGCCCACAAAAGTAAGAATTTAATCTGACAAATCTATTAAAACACAGAAAGTGTTGCATCAAAAAAAACTTTAAATCTAAACCTGAAGAATGTGCAGATGATAAAAAAGCACCTAAAGAGACGTTCGCTAATTAAACGCAATCCAGACTGAACAAACGCTCCGAGCCGCCGCTGACCCATGGAACGTTAAAACCAGAACAGAGTGCACGTTAATCATGTGTAGCAGTTTTCCTTTATGCTAAGCTAAGCTAAGCTAAGCTAATCTCTTCCTGACTCCAGGACCATATGAGTACACTGACGTTTAACTCCAGAAAAAGTAAAAACATGAGAAAATGAATAGTGTGTGATAAGAGCAGAAGTTAGCCTAGCTTAGCATGAGGCGTGGAAGAATGCTAAGCTAAGCTAATCATGGCCAGACTCAAGGTCTATTTTAATTAATTTGCTTTATTTTCAGTTGTATAACTTTTGCTCTTTAATTAGCTGTAGTTTTTTGTTGCTCTGTAACCATGTTGGTTTGTTTTTATTCCATTTTAACTAACATCTGTGCTACAACTATGTTACTACTGTGTTCTTACTGTGTTATTACTGTGTTATTATTAACATTAGTTGGCGTGTTTAGTTTTGTAATAGGAGCAAACTATGTGTTAACTTTGGATATTAAAAGATAAATGTGTGTGTTAAATTTGCAGCTAGCTAGCTTAGCTTAGCATAAGGTGGTGGAAATGGCTCCAGTTTTTAACAATTAACATATCTTAATTATTTAATGTGTATGCAAACAGAAACAACAAGCTGCAGGATGGGATAAGTATTGCTTGGTGAGCAGTAGCTTCCTCATGCTAAGCTAAGCTAAGCTAAGCTAATGACTCCTTAACTCCAGGGCAATACAAGCGCGCTGACAGCTAGCTCAATGAGACAAAAGGAAAGAAGATGTTTACGCGACTATTCATTTAAATCCACTGTGTGTAGATTGTTTTTTTTAATGATCTTTTTTTATTGTTGTGGATGAATCGAACCAGAGCAGCTGTTTGTTAGAGACCTGACAGGAACACGTGTGAACTAAAGGGAGGAAAACAAACTACAGATGCAGAAATATCAGTGTGAATAAAGCTCACACTGTTAAAAATGTTCCGTTAAACACCACAGCTCTGTAGGGTTCAATACAGCAAATTATGGATTCATCGTATTTCAGATGTGCACATCGTACAGGAGAGGATGTCAGAGGATTGACGGGAGGTTTAACAGGTAAACGCTGACGTTAACGTTGATAAAGGCAGCAGCAGGATGAATCCAAACCACCAGGACGTCGGTCTGGTGCAGCTCTGTGGAACCTCTGCAGGAAATCCACCGACGAGGCTGCAGCCGATCCCGAGAAGCAGGAACACCAAGAAACTGTCAAATCTCTGGATTTCAGGCGAACGTTACAGGATCAAGTGGGTGTTTGAGAAAAGGGGTAAACGAGTTCGCCGTGTGTGACCGGACAAGAAAGGTCGCATTGCTGCCGGGTCAAACGCAGGCCCGGGAGGGAAATCCCTGGTGTCGTATTAACAGGGAGGGACCCAGAGGAATGAATAAGCCGATTACTTCATAGCTCAGAGAAGCTGCGCTCACACTTTGTAAAGTTAAAGCGTGACAAGCGATTGTTGCAGAGAAAAGCTTCCCGCTGCTTTACGGGCGCCACCAAACCTCTTTAACGGGAGCTGGTTCTTCACGCTGCTCCTGATGATGCAGAGCTTATGAAGCGGTACGAGGTGAAGCCTGCAGAACATCCCTGTGACTCCACAGAGGTCGTAAAATCATCGTCTGAACCAGAGGAAGGAAGCAAAACAACTGGCTGCCTCATCCGCGAACTCTGCGGTCTGGCAAAGTTCAACGGGCGTTTTGTGGGTTCGGGTCATCGCTAGTGTAGGTCGGCTCAATCTGAGGCCGCCAGGAGACGACAAGTCAAACACAAGTCTGAAGCTCCTCCTGGACGGACGAGCAGGATGGTCCTGATTTAGTTTGAGGGCTTCGAAGTGAAAACAAGAGTCTGCGGCCGCGATGGGGGCTGTCAGAGGCTGTTCTTAGAGACGGCAGAGCTAACGCGCTAACGCTTAGCAGGGAGAAGGTTGATCCTGGAAGCTGACAGGGTCGCTCCACTCAGCCAGCTGACGTCAGGATGTTCTTCAAAAAAACATGCAAAGCTTCTACCTGAGCCGTAGAACCGTGCAGAACCCCACAGCTCTACTCCCAGAACTTTTTGAGTCAGGACTTTTTGAAAATCGGCCCTCGGTGTTAAATCTGTAAAATAATCTTCAGTGATTCTTTTAAAGCATCTCTCAAACCTCACCAGCTGCTTTTTTATTTTTTATTTTATTTTGGCTGATTTGTTTTACTGAATATCCCAGAACCCTCGAGGAAACGTTGTAATCATGTCAATAGCTCATGCAGATTTTTTTTATTACAGAAATTAAAATAATAAAAGTTGATGATTTACCATCAAAACTAAAAATCTTTAATTGTCAGAAATGAGCATCTCCACTAATGTTCACTTCATTTCAACCAGATGTGTTGCTGTGGGTAGAAACAGCTCAGTTTGGTCAAAAGCTGACCGACACAGGTTTCCTAACGTCAGCATTTTAGTCAGAAGATGTTTGAAAATCACTGAAATCGTTGTGATTCATCATCTGGGAACCATGAATGTTTTTAATCAATTTCATTCATAATTAATCCAAAATCGCTGCAGGTGGATCAGTGGTTAGCACCGTCGCCTCACAGCTAGGAGGTCAGTGGTTGGCGTCCCGGTGAGGACACCCGGGATCTTCCTGCGTGGAGTCTCCATGTTCTCCCCGTGCAGCGTGGGTTCTCTCCGGGTTCTCCGGCTTCCTCCCACAGTCCAGAAACATGCTGAGGTTAATTGGTGATTGTAAATTGTCCGTAGGTGTGAATGTGAGTGTGCGTGGTTGTCTGTCTCTAAGTGTAGCCCTGTGATAGACTGGTTACCTGTCCAGGTGAACCTGCCTTCACCCTGAGTCAGCTGGGATAGGCTCCGCCCCCCATAGTGAGGATGAAGGTGTAGAGATGATGGATGGATGTGATTAATCAAAAACTTTCCTTTCATGCAGACATTTCACTTAAAAAGCTCAAAAAGCTCCTTTAATGGAATTCATCCATGAACTTTATTTTTCTGGTTTTACTTCATTTATTTTTTGTTTATTTTGTTTTATTTACAGTTTAGCGTTTAAAATAATAAATCCTAACGACATCGTCTCTTTCTGTTGTTTCTGCACCAGTCTCTCCATCATGCTGGCTTTGTGAAGCCCTTTGGTCTGCATGTAAACTTCTGTATAAATAAAGTTTGATTGAAGAGCTGCTGGATCACATCAGGTCATCTTGATGCTAACGCGGCTAAAAGCTGAAGCGCTGGTTTGGAAACGTCATCTTCCACCCAAACCACCGTCTGTAATCAGAGCCTGAGCCGAGGTCGGGATGTCGGCGAGCTTCTCTTCATGTTGTCTCTCAGCTCTTGGCTCTCGGCGAAGCTTCAAAACTCAGCGCTGCTTGTTGTTGTCATCGTCTAAACTGTCCACTGATTGGTCCTGCTGAGCTCAACACTATCTGAAATCTCAGTGAGGCTGAACTTTCACTTCTAATACCGTCTCCATCTCCGTCCTTCAGCCAGAATCTGCTCCTTGGTGATTGTGTAAGACGATATTTGTACTTTAGATTACTGAGAAACTGATGACTGATTCCAGTCAGCTTACCTCCGTCCTTGGAGCAGAGGTTGAGGAGGTTGTGGACGGTGTCCATCATCTCCTGCTGCTGCCTCTGCAGGGCGGTGCTGTTCCCCGTGGCCCGGCTCAGCTGGGCCTCCAGCTCCCGGATGACGCCGCTCTGTCGACCCACCAGCGCCTGCAGGCTTCCCTTCTCCTCCCGCAGGCTGTCCAGCTCCTCCTGGTGTCGCACCTCCATGTCCAGCATCTTCTGCTCCAGCAGGCTGCAGGAGAACCAGAGGTCAGGACGAGGTTGTTGTTATGGAGACAGAGGAGATGGTCATTATCGTCCTAATCCTCTGGAAGGACGATTATTTTCACAGGATTTAACTGGACTAGTGGTTCTGATATTACCACTTATCTTCTGGTTATATAACATGTGAAAATGGGCCAAGTGATAAAAACAAGTCAATACAAACTCCTTCATCTCTGACTCTTAGTTCCTGCTGCTTCTTTTTAATGGAAACCTGGAACTTTAAAACCTGCAAGATAAAGAAATCCTGAATGAAGCTGTAAGCATGATGCTGATGGTGGCCGTCATAAGGCTGCTTCAGCTTCCAGTCAGATCTCTGCATCAGCTGCTTTCAACTCCATTCTAGCTGCAGCACCTTCATGAATGAGTCCTGATGTCCTGGTGCTGTCCAGCTGGAGCTGAGGACTTGGAGCTACTAAACCCTCCTGGACACTTTCACACAGTTCAGACTGTGTGTTAGA